TATCATAAAGACTAAGAATGGAATCCAGTATTCTTCTTCTACAAGACATATTTGTGTCCCTAAGAGGCCCGCAATCCATAAATTCTAAAGAACTAGAAAGTCAGAGTTCGGCAATGACACAAGGGTGGTGTCACTTTTTAAATTTTACTATATAGAAAAAAAATTTGGTTATTGTCACATTTCTAGGCAAATGCCAGATTAAATACTGACCTTTCAAATGCGTAAATTTACATATCAAATGCTGTTTTTTTAATGCCAACTGCTACTGCGCGTTTTCTTTAAATAGTACAAGCCATTTGTGGAGGTTGACAGCTAAGGAGCAAAATCATCAAATAAATCAAATTTTAGCATAGTGGAATGAATAAATGCTCAAAGGCAAAAAAGCAATGTGTTTCTAAATGCAATCTTTGCCAGATAAAAAGAGATTACTGTTGGGGCTCCATAGGCAGAGGTTGGGGACTACGGCTATTTACTTATTTATTCATTCAATTATTTACACAAACAGCTTGGATCACTGTGTTGAAATCAAGATGCCTCAGAATGCAGATGTTACAAAACTGAGAGGCACATTAATTAATGATGAAATAAGCAGTTTACACATCCTAGCGATTATTTAAATGTGTAGATTAACAAATCACAGAAGTAGATAAGCAGAGAATGAGGTTTCCTGAAAAGAGAAAATGCTGGGGAGGAAGGATAAAAGTGTGTCATAAATTAAATGCTGCTATAATATGGTAATAAAGATAATATACAGAGAAGCTTTTAATGAGATGTGTAGTTTAAAATTCAAGAAACATGCAGAGCTTCAGATCATGCTGATACATATAGAATGAATAGACTCAGAAGGTGCTTCAAGAGGATATACACAGTGCTTTACTATGGGGAACCTCCATGCTCCATATGGACCCACATCACCAGATCTTTCTTTCATGGAGTTCAATGCCCTAAACTTTTAGGGTGGTTGAAAATTCCATTCCAATTTATATCTGTCGCAATGTACAAAAAGTAAAAGCAGAAGAAAGCACCTTAGTAGATTTGCCAGTTCCCTACAGGCTGGCCTTGGAAACTGTGCATTACAAGTAATGCAGCTCAATTTGGGGATATAACATTTCAAAAGCAATGAGATTAGCAAGAGCAGAAGTAACCAATTAGGGCTTCCAGTTACTTTCAAAATTTACTTCTGAAGGGCATTCAAGCAGGCATTTTTATATGAATTAGTCAAGTTTTGCATCATTCTCATCAATTCTAATGGGTCTTTCTTTTAAAAACAAATCTAAGAAACCACAACAGGAAAATGAAGTAGCAATGTAACACATAACACAACCAGATGCTTGTTTGCACAGTATTTTGAATAACAACAATGGAGTGCTTTTAAAACAACGAATGAATCATAGAATAAATTACTTTTATATACTAATGTGGTTTTGTGCATGCATTGTAATGCATTTTTTAAAAAATTGGCCTTTTAAGGCCTTTCCGCTGTGTTTTTCAGTGTTTTTAAGAGTGATGGTCACTTGTTGGCCTGATAGGTTGTATTGTGTCCAAATTTTGTGTCAATTTGTCCAGTGGTTTTTAAGTTATATTATAATCCCACAAATGAACATTACATTTTTATTTATATAGATGTAATATCACTAATAATATTACAATATAATGGTATAGTATAATACAGTGATATGCTAATAATATAATATAATATATTGTGTGTGTGTGTGTGTGTGTGTGTGTGTATGTATGTGTGTATGTATATATATATATATATATATATATATATATATATATATAACACTTGTAAGCCACTCTGAGTCCCCTTCGGGGTGAGAAGGGTGGCATATAAATGTCGTAAATAAATAAATATTATATACCTGTGATGGCATGCCCAAGCCCTTGAGGAAACTATATTGTCTGGCTTTACTCGGGGGCTATCTGATACCTTAAGATTAAGACTCTTAACAGACAGAGGCACTTTGAGGTGTGGAGAAAAGATAATAAAATAAATTTACTGAATCAAGAGGAATGAAGGGTTAACTCTACCCGGGACTATCCTGAGGTAACCTAAAACAATACATTACAAAGGGAGCACTTGTCAGCTGAAGACATCTCTCTGGGGTGGTTGAAAGTCTCTGTTGCCTCTGGTGCCAAGCGATGGTTAAAGATTGCCTTAATCTTCTCTCCTTATGAAGCTTGGGCTGACCAAAAACGTCAATGCTGGTAAATGCAGCAGTAGTGCTAAGAAATGCCTGTTTGAATTGCTAGGCCTGAATTGCGAGAAGATCCAACCAGTCCATACTTCAGGAAATAAAGCCCGACTGATCATTGGAGGGAAGAATAGTAGCGGCAAAGATGAAGTAATTTGGCCACATTATGAGAAGACAGGAAAGCTTGGAGAAGAGAATGATGCTGGGGAAAATGGAAGGAAAAAGGAAGAGGGGCCGACCAGGGGCAAGATGGATGGATGGCATCCTTGAAGTGACTGGATTGACCTTGAAGGAGCTGAGGGTGGTGACGGCCAACAGGGAGCTCTGGAGTGGGCTGGTCCATGAGGTCATGAAGAGTCAGAAACGATGGAATAAAACAACAACAACAAACAAGATTTCCAGACATTGAACACACACACATTTATACAGTGAAATCCTATGATTTAGTCTGAAATCAGCCCCACTGAGTACAATGGAATTTACTGCCAGGTAAATCTTAATGTAACAGATCCTTTAGAATCCTAACTGATTTTGCCCAAAGTAAAAATTAGAGACGTATTTCCTGTTTGGATATTTGTGCTAAAAATTCAAAGTAAGTTTTTAAAAAGAGTTTAAAATTCAAATTTGGTCAGCAAAAAGATCTCATCCTGCTACTTTCCACTATTTCAATTGCTGAAGTGATCAAAATATTTATTTATTTATTTATTTATTATTTACTGTATTTGGATACTGCCTTTCTCAGCCCGTAGGCGACTCAAGGGGGTTAACAGGGCAAAATTAAATGCTTACAATATCATAAATACAATTAAAAATGTAACATATAATAAAAACTAAACAAATTAATAAAATATAAATATAAAAAATAAAAATAAATAAAAGGGAGGGCGTTCCACAGCTGAGAGGCCATCACCGAGAAGGCCCTGTCTCTCGTCTCCGCCAAAAGTACTTGTGATGAAGGCGGTAACGAGAGCAGGGCCTCTCGAGACGATCTTAAGGTCCTAGATGGTTCATAATATGTATTTACTTGCATAGTTTCATGTGTATAAACAGCTGATAACTCTTTTAGGCAATTTGGTACCTTGTCACAGTCATTTTTACACAGTTCTCCAAGAGAATAAGATTGATAATTTCTTACAGGAATTCCCCCCCCCCCCCCCCCCGCCCGCCTATTAATTTAATACTAACTCCCTTTCTTTTCTGTCTGTTGAAAGATTTAACATTTCAGTTCAATTGTGTTGCTTTCACATATTTCCTATATAGGCAGTCCAGGTTACAAACAAGATAGATTATGTAGGTTTGTTTTTAAGTTGAATTTGTATGTCAGTCAGAACATGTACATTTTTTAAGTGTAACTCCAGCTGAAAACTCCTGCAAAACATGGACTGTTGACAAATGTTACTCTAAACTTCTGGAACCATTCCATCAGAGCAACTCCAAAAAATCCTGCAAATCTCTTGGGAAGGCAAGTGGACAAATGTCCTCATTCTACATGAAGCAAAGCCCATCAGCACTAAAACGATGCAACTCTGCCATCAACTTTGCTGAACCGGCCACATTGTCTGAATGCCCGATCACCATCTCTCAAAGCAGTGACTATACTCTCAATTCAAGAATGGAAAAAGGAATACTGGTTGACAGCATTTAAAGATGGGCTTAAAGCTAACCTTAAAAACTGTGGCATACACACCGAGAACAGGGAAGCCCTGGACCTCAAGTGTTCTGAATGGAGGTCAGCTATTACCAACATTACTGTGGAATTTGAAGAGGCACGAATGGAGGGCAAAGGAGAGAAGCGTGTTAAGAGGAAGGCACGTCAAGCCAACCCTTGTCAGAACTGCCTTCCATCTGGAAATTGATGGCATCATTGTGAAAGAGCAGCAGGATCAAGAATGGATCTCTACAGTCACCTACAGACCCATCGCCAAGGCCATAAACCAGAAGGCAAACATAAGCTCTGCATAGCATTGAGACAGTTAACACCCCTGTAGTATTTGTTTTGCTGTCTGTGCCCCTATTCAGAAAATTTCACCTCACTTTCTGTCTCTGTGATAATTGGATTTTGGAACATTTGGCTTATTGTGGAAACAAGGATTGGCAAGAAAGCCTTTGTGGAGACACCTTTCCCTATGATAACTCTTTCAGGAGCAAATTTTCCTTCTAAGGGGTAGATTTACCTCATTTCCTGTTCTCTTGCCCTCGTTCTTAACTCTGAGTCATTCGTAAGTTGGATGTTTGAAACTTGGGGGCTGCCTTTACTAAGAAAAAGAGCCCTTGGTTTGTTTAGAATTAATTTGCTTTTCCTAATTAATTTGCTTTTCTCTTTAATGAACTTAGCATATCTTCCAAATTTAGAAAAGCTTTCTGAAGTACGTGTCTCCTCCCCTCAGCAATACTCTTTTACTTCTCATTTCAGTGAAGGGTAGATTATTCTATGAATTTTATCCTTTAGGACTGTGAACTTTTGTTCACAATAAAAACTGCAACATTTTGAGCAATTGGTATTAAATAATGGCAGCAATCATAGCTTGAGTCTTAAATCGTATAGTTTTATCCTTATCTGAATGTAATGATTTGATCCATTAAGCAAGTCCTTTAACTGTATTTTTATATCTGTACATCTATGTAGGATAGGTATTTTATACAACATTGTTTTGGTATCAGTGTCACTATACTTTTATATAGATTATGTTTGTTGTCACGGACTATACTTTTATTAATTGCAATAGTCACTGGCTTGGTGTCAATAAAATGTGATCATCGTTGATTTCCTATATTTGATTTTTTCTTACTTTATTTCTTCAGCACCTAGGAACAAAATAACCTTGACCTTGGTGCAAGATGATGCTGGTGTTAATGGAAGACATGAAATTTTCTTGCATCTCAGTATGTCGCGTCTTATACTACTTAGGTTCCTGCAAAAGGTAAGATAAGACAACCCTCTCAAGTCAGGCTTCAAGAAAAGAATTCCACTTTTAAGCCTTTTGATACGTGTTTCTCTGATTCCTTCAGTAACATTATCTCCCCCAACCCAATGTAAAAGTTAGAATAGAAAAATTATACTACCTTAGCTGACCTCTCCAAATAGAACCCACATTTACAAATGTGACACCAAAGAAATGCTGTAGCTAACTGGACAGATGAGTAGCAGCAATAATCTTTCTTCCCTTCCTCTAGCTAGCTTTTTGTCCATCTTGACCTCTGATGTTTTTCATCCTCTTCCCTTGGATTCATCATATATTACCATTCTTTCCCCTTGGTAGCCTTACCTCATCTACAGAAGAAAAAAAGACTTTCTGCACAGTTTATACCAGTTCCCCAACCCCTACCACTATCACTTCTGGAAACACAGAGAATAATAAAGAAACAGAGCAACTGCAACAAATTTCCTTTACCTAAGAAAACTATGACTAAGTTTTTCAGAGGAAAGCTTGTGATCTCTTTTTTAAAATGCTGGAATGCCCTAGCTATAGCCTTGTCTTCTTTTTTGTACCTAACTCCTTTACACCCATCTTGCACTTACAATAATGTTCCATGCACAGAACAGACATCTATGACAAGTTATATCATGTCACTATCCAGAATAAGAATTTTAGGGTGTATCTATATTATAAAAATAATGTTGATAGCCACCACTTTAACTGCCATGACTGAATGCTATGGAATCCTGGGATTTGGTGAGGTACCAGCACTCTTTGATAGAGAAGGTGAAAGACATTTTAAAACTACAACTTCCACAATCTCAAAGCATTGAGCCATGGGTAGTTAAAGTGCTGTCAAACTACCATAATTCTACAGCAGAGATGCACTTCTAGAGTGTCTCCATTTCCATCCAAAGACCTTCCCCAATAGCTATTGTCTCTTCGGACACAGAGGATGTGTGTAAACATATAATTGTGGAGTTCGTTTCCAAAATGTATCTTTTTTTTAAAAAAAAAGTGACAGGAAACAGAAGTGCATTGTTGGCTAGGAGTAGATTATTATATATAGATCAAAACTATCAAAATTTATTAAATCACTTTGGTATAGGGTTTGGAAGATTACATTTTATAGCACATCGTCAGTACATCGTTTCTGTAAAATTTGTTCAGATGGATTTGGTACTTTTTGGAAACAAGCACCAAAATTGATTGTTATAGGGTGAATTTCTTAATGAGAGACAGGGCAGACTACCGCATCTTCCAGTGTATAAGATGACTGGGCATATAAGACAACCCCCAACTTTTCCAGTTAAAATATAGAGTTTGGGATATACTCGCCATATAAGACTACCCCTCTTCTGCCGCCTCCTCCATCTCCCGCCCCGTGAAGGGAGGGAGAGAAGGAGAGAGACCTGTACTCGACCCTTCTCTGAGACTATTTCAAAGTACTTCTATGCATTTTTTTTCTCTTCACGAAATTCCTTACCATGACACAGTTTGTGTATTCTGGCTTTTACTGTATAATGTTATCTTCTTATTATAGCATGTATAAATGACATAACAGTTACTAAAATTAATTAAGGAATTGCATTACTTGTGTGATCAACAGTTTTACACCAGGGAAGAACTGTTAATACAACTAAATTTGCAAAACAATAATTTCAATGTGAACATTGAACCAAAATTGGCACAGAGAACTCCCATGAGCAACAGAGAATACTGAAGGAGTCTGGGGAAAACGGGCCTTGGCATTTAGGTGTTGCTTGGATTTATAGTTCACCTGCAATCAATGAGTATTCTGAACTCCAGCAGCAATGGAACTGAACCAAACTTGGTACAGAGAACTCCCATGAGCAACAGAATATATTTGGGGGGGGGGGGAGGGTTAGGGAAAATAGGCCTTGGCATTTGGGAGCTGCTGGGATTTATAGTTCATCTCTAATCAATGAGCATTCTGAACTCCAGCAGCAATGGAATTGAACCAAACTTGGCACAGAGAACTCCCATGAGCAACAGAAAATATTTCGGGTGTTTGGGGAAAATAGGCCTTGGCATTTGGGAGCTGCTGTGATTTATAGTTCACTTGCAATCAATGAGCATTCTGAACTCCAGCAGCAATGGAATTGAACAAACTTGGTACAGAGAACTCACATGAGCAACAGAATACTTGGGAAAACAGACATTGGCATTTAGCAACTTCTTGGATTCTCCCTTGCGCCACAGCCATTACCTGGGAGGTGCCTGTAAATGCCGTGGCAGCTCAGGGGGTGCTTGCAAACACAGAGAGCCTTCCATCATCCTCTGCTGGGCTACTGGTCCTACGGGCCCGGGGGAGGGGGGTTTTCTCCACCCCCAGGCCTGCTCACACAGTGGAGAGTTGGCAGGGATGGAGGAGAGCCCCTCCCCACCGGGCCCACAGGATCAGCAGTGGTAGCGGCAGCCAAGCAACAACCAGTTAGAAGATGATCGAAGGCTCTCCCATGCCTGCAAATGCTGTGGCAGTTCAAGAGGTGTTTGTAGGCACGGGAGGGCCTTCCACTCTCCTCCACCAGGCTACTGGTCCTGCGGGCTGGGGGGGCCTCTCCTCCACCCCTGGGCCTTCTCTCACAGTTGTGGGGCAGTGGAGAGTCCCCCCCGGGCCCACTGGATCAGCAGCATCCTAGTGGCAGCCCAACAGAGGACAATGGAAGCCCTACCGTACCTGCAAACACCGCAGTGGCTTAGGAGGCATTTGCAGGCATGGGAGGGTCTTCCATCATCCTCCATCAGGCTGCTGCTGGGCTGCAGCTGTTCCTACAGGCCCGGAGGGGCCTTTCCTCCATTGCCAGGAGGGAGGGCGATGGAAGGCCCTCCTGGGTTTGCTCACACAGTAGCAGGTTGGCAGGGCAGGAGAGAGGCACCCCAAGATCCACAGGAATGGCAGTGGCCTTACAACAGCCTAGCAACAGCCTGGAGGAAGTGTTCTGAGGTATGCCGCTGCTGTTTCAATGGCCGGGGGGGGAGGGGGGTCTTTGCAATCACCCCTTAAGATGCCACTCCAGGGGAAGGTGTTCTATCATTTTTTGTTGGATTGGAGAATGGCTGCCGCTAGGCCGCTGCTGTCCCTGCAGGCCTGGGGGGGGGGGTTCTCCTCCATCCCTGCAAATCGAACCCAGCACATAAGACCACCCCAACTTTTGAAAGGATTTTTCAGGGTTAAAAAGTTGCCTTATATGCCAGAAGATATGGTAGTATTTTTCCAAGGGCTTAATTTCTAAAATATGCCATCATCACCATCTCGAATGGTCTGGCCAGGTATAATGAAATAACAAGCTATCTTCAGAGCAATGAGAGAATGAATAGTTTGACAATTTCTAAGAGTACTAAAATTTCAGCTATCATTTAGAATGAATTATATATTCAAAGGGGAGTAAATTAAGGAAATAGAAGATTGGTAAGACAAATGAAGTTTCTTCTTTTTTTAAAGGTACAAGTCTAGAAAGAGCCAAAAGAACAAAGGATCGTTTTTACTGATCATTCCATGTAAGCATTTCTGCAATATTGAAATCTTTGGATTAAATCTGTTATTTCAGATATGCAAATATATATTCTTTTAAAGAGTCAGCGGAGAAATTATAGAAAGGAGAAAGAGGATTGAGGACTTTTTATTCAGGATATGATTGCCATTATTTTTGATGATAGCTGTTGTAACAATGATATCCTGGAAATTAAGATGTGAAACAGACATAAATATAGCCATAGGATGGTGCTGGTAGGGAAACTTGTTACTCAGTTGTAATCGAGGTATGCATGCTTAACTATAATTCTGTGTATCCTCTCTCACAGTAAGAATAACTAATATAAGAGGGAGTGAAATGAAAAGAGCTGGCAATGCAATTCCCCCCGCCCCCCAGCATATCAAGCAGGTTTTCATAAGGAAGCAGTGGTCATCAATCACTACCTCATTACCAACCTGTCATCTGGGCTTAGGCTAAATGTATTCTGGCATGCTGCCATACTAAATGTTCAATGAAACATCCTTAAGGCTCTCTACAAGTTCAGCTGAAGTCGCACATGCTATACATCAAAGAGGAACATTAGCGTTATCATAGCTTAATAAATAGTGCCATTCTGGCAACACAACTCTGTGTTCTAGAGCTATCTCCCATTCCCCAGTATTATGCAGCTTAAGTAAACAATCTTGCTGTCTTGTGTGATGTTTATTTAATGATAAATGCATGTAATGATAATTAGTCATTCCAGTATGTATGTATGCACTTTCCTTCCCTGCTGAATAATACTCAGATGTAGGTGAAGTATAGCATAAAATAGCTATTTAATTGTGTTGAATTGAAATTTGCCTTATTCTTCAATTGTTGTAACTTGTGGATATATTACATCAAAATGAGTCTAGAGAAGGGAAAGAATTGTATCCAGGTGAAACCTACACTATAGAATTCAGTTTGATCCCAATTTAACTGTCACGGCTCAATGCTTCAGAATTCTGGGATTTCTAGTTTGATGAAGAACCAGCTCTCTTTGGCAGAGAAGGCTACAGACTTAGTAAAACTACCACTTCCATGACCCCAGGTAGTTAAAAGTGGTGACAAACTTCGTTAATACTATAGTATAGATCAGGGATCCTCAAACTTTTTAAACAGAGGGCCAGGTCACAATCTCTCAAACTGTTGGAGGGCCAGATTATAATTTGAAAAAAACATGAATGAATTTCTATGCACAGTATACATATCTTATTTGTAGTGTAAAAACACTTAAAAACAATATAATAATTAAAATGATGAACAATTTTAACAAATATAAAATTATTAGTATTTCAGTGGGAAGTGTAGGCCTACTTTTGGCTGATGAGATAGGATTGTTGTTGTTGTTGTGTGCTTTCAAGTCATTTCAGACTTAGGAGGGCTGCATCCGGCCCCCGGGCCTTAGTTTGAGGACCCCTGGTATAGATGCACCACAACTGCAAACCTGTTCCACACGAAAAGTATCCAGAGCATGTTTCTTATACTCATTATATAATATGTGGCCTTCTGGGACTTAATATACTCAACTTTTAAAACACTAATGTGGGACATCAATGTATCAAGAAGGCTGTTTTATAAAATTCAAAATGGTAATATACTATTACATATATCTAACAGAAGACATTATGAATTTAGTATTTTCTAAATATTATGGAGAAATATAACAGATTGAACATTAAAAATATTATCAATGATTATCCCATATTGTCATTCTTTCTAGAAAAAGAAAGAGAGATATAGTCCATGTAATAAAAAATGTGGTTATAGGGCATGCTACTGAGCAGAGTTCCAAGTACAGATTATGATGCCCAATAACCTATACTATTTAGAATTGAGTAATACTTTGGTTGGACTATGAAAGAGTTACAGATGTATCAAACTTTCAGAGTTCTCCAAAACTCTTTATGAAGTATAATGCTGAACTAATTAGGAAACAGACAAAGAAATAAGAAGTTCTCACATTACAGTAAGCTTAATTGATTGCCCACTGTGTGTGTCTGAAGCTGTTAACTGGTTGCATGTTGTGACTGAAGTCTTTTTAGGTAGATCAGGGGCGGCTCAACTCATTACGCAAAGTAAGCATATAGTTGGTTTTGCCCAGGGGCGCTCTTGAGGCGCTCTTGGGGGAAAATAGACCTTGACATATACGAGTTGTAGTTACTGGGATGTATAGTTCACCTACAATCAAAGAGCATTCTGAACTCCACCAATGATGGAATTGAACCAAATATGGCACACAGAACTCCCACAACAAACAGAAAATATATATCAGTGATTGGTTGGGGGAGGGGGGCGCCAAAATACTGTTTGCTTACCGTTGAAAATTACCTAGGGCCGCCTCTGAGGTAGATGGACTTGCATGGTTTAGATCCAGTGATGAAGAAAGATTTAGTGTCTTGGAGAAACATCAATAAAACATAGGAGCCATAGTAATCAAGTAAAGCAGTGTTTCTCAACCTGGGGGTCAGGATGAGAAACACTGCTTTGCTTGATTACTATGGCTCCTATGTTTTATTGATGTTTCTCCAAGAGTGTGTCAAAGGGGTTGTCAAAGACAATCAAAAACACAGTATTTTCTGTTAGACATGGAGGTTCTGTGTGGGAAGTTTGGTCCAATACTATCGTTGGTGGGATTCAGAATGCTCTTTGACTGTAGGTTAACTATAAATCCCAGCAACTACAACTCCCAAATGTCCATGTCTATTTTACCCAAACTCCACCAGTGTTCACAACTGGGCATGTTGAGTATTCGTGCGAAGTTTGGTCCAGATCTGTCATTGTTTGAGTCCACAGTGCTCTCTGGATATAAGTGAACTACAACTCCAAACTCAAGTTCAATGCCAACCAAACTCTTCCAGTATTTTCTGTTGGTCATGGAAGTTCTGTGTGCCAAGTTTGCTTCAATTCCAGAGCTCAGAATGCTCTTTAATTGTAGGTGAACTATAAATCCCAGCAACTGAAACTCCCATTTGGGACAGCATCTCCCCCACCTCACCAGTATTCAAACTTTGGCGTATCGGGTATTTGTGCCAAATTTGGTCCAGTGAATGAAAATACATTCTGCATATCAGATATTTACATTACTATCCATAACAGTAGAAAAATACAGTTATGAAGTAGCAACCATTTTTTATGGGAATCACCACAACATGAGGAACTGTATTAAGGGGTCATGGCATTAGGAAGGTTGAGAACCAATGCAATAAAGATATTTCTCACTCAGAATTTTGATTCTACTTATGGATTATACAATTGCTTTTTTGTTTTGAAATTCATTTGCTGAATAATTGAGGAGAGTTGTGTGTGCATGTCCCTTCATGTCATCTGTTGACTTGTGACAATCTCATGAATTTCATAGGATTTTTGTAGTCAAGGAATATTAAGAAATGCCTACAGCACCTGGCATACACTGGCAGTATCCCATGCAAGTACTGAGCAGGGACGACCTTTTATAGCATCCAAAAACAGTTCAGGATTGGAGTATTTTAAACAAAATCTGAAAGTTAGATTACTCTGTTAGAAGTGGAAACCTTTCTATCATCAGAGGAATCATTAGGAGTCTCATATGGAAACCATACAGAGAAATCCGATCATTTAAAAATGTTGTGTTCTTGCTGAGTGCATCTCAGTTCTTCGACATGTTTCTTCTGGATATCTATGCAGCTAAAGTAAATCTTTCTAATAGGCACTAGGATTTTAGGAAGTGTCAAGGTAAAAATGAAATAAATATGAAATTTGAGCATGACTGTTTGAGCTTAAACCTATAGACCATAGATTTAATCCAAGAAAATTGGTTTGAATTTTGAAAAGTATGCAGTTACAGACTTATTTATTTTTACATACAACCAAAGCTCTAAAAATTTAATTTAAAATATTGAAGTTGGCAAGTAGCAAGGCCATAATGTTGTGTAATTAAGATGTGAAAAGTGGTTTCAGAAGATGTTGAGACACAATTTTTGAGATGATTTTAACTATACAGCATAATATGAAATATGATGTGCTCATCCCAGAAATATTAAAATATAGTGTCTTAGAGACTTATTATTAACTTAGAGTAATATAGACTAAGAGTCTATTCTCATTATTGGAAGGAATTCGAGAAGAAATTAATATCTACCAATTTTTCCTTTCCCCTGCAGTCTTCTCTGAAAAAGTACTCTAGAGAGCTGGGGATTATCTAAACCCACATGAGATCCCGACCACCTACTTTGAATTGAAGGACTCTGTTAGAATCTAGGAGCTTCCATGAAAGGAATAAGCCCTTGCATTTGCAGTTTTGAATCAATATCCAACCCTTATCTTGGAGAGCTATAACATATGTGCCTACTTTCTTAATGCATACATGTAGATAGGTCTAAGAGTCAATTTTCATTACAATGGTTGATTTATTACAAAAACTTTATTGCTAAGGTGGGAGGTGCAATTTAAAAGCAATTGTTAGTCCTAATACAGCTGGCACACTGGAACAATGGACCTTTGGTAAGCTGCTGATTTTCAGTGGCATTTGTGCAAGTTGCCAGTCTCCTATTGTTCCAGTGGCTCTGCTCATATTAGTTCTGAAAACTGGATTTAAGCAAATATGTGCCTATTGCTAATGTTTGTTATCCAAAGAAATGAAATTCCTGTTTGAAGGATCTTACTGCAGATGCTATTGATGTACTAGTTATATATCTCATATCAATACAAAAAATGGTGTCAATCTAATGCAAGAATAAATCTAGATTGGAAACATCTGCATGCAATTAACCAGAGAGGGTAGATATCCCTTTTCATGTTGACATATAACATTTTGCTATATAACAAATTAGTAACTACTCTACTTTTTCAACACATTAAAAAACAAGACACTGTAAGCCTGCACAATGCATTTTCTCATCTCCTCTCTTGCTGCAGGAATGAGAAAACCCTTTGCTATCCCTTATGTCATATCCCTCCTAAGGGTGAAGTATTCAGATTCTACTCCTTTTGCCAACTTTTCAAGCTGAAAGGGAAAGAACACAAGAGGTGGGGTGTACATCTTTGAAAGAAATCACCATC